CCTGCGGAATCACAACTTTGTGTTGTTTGTGCCAGGTAAATAAAACCGCTGCATGGTCCCACGTCCCCTCGTTCTTTCAGTGAAAACCACAACGCAGTGTATACCGTAGTTTTATTTAATATGTTTATTATGTATATAAAATCCCTTTTGTAAATTTAATACACAAAAATAGACATGTCTCATCTTTGACCCATATACAAGATCATTTGCATTATCACTGGAGTGGCATACCAAATTTCATTATACGCAGTACGATGACAGTTATTCTTTCTTCTTTACTGTAAAGTTTGGTATGCCACTCCAGTGATAATGCAGAGGGAAAAAAAAACAAAAAAAGGATACACAAACTATAGATAAATAGATATTTATTCATATAGAGACACACACACTCAAGAAAGTTACAGCAAGGAAAAAAAACTAGATGAGGAGTAAAGTGCAAAGGGGCAGGTCCATAACATAATACTGCAACAAGTCAGAAGTAGCTACAGATGAAAGAACGAGACAGCAGTGCAAAAGTGGCCCAAAAAATACTGGGTGGTATATGACAGCAGAGCAAACACACAGGATTGATTATTGCTGGTTCAGCAGGGGAATAGCTCTCAGGTTTTCCTCATTCTCGAAGTACAGGCCAATGTTGATATTAATAATTCCGTAATCATGAGGATTACCTTAAATAAAGTCTCAATTTGTGCTGATCAATTTAAAGGATTACTGCAAGACTAGAGAATACTGTAAATTAAGCTGCTACAGCAAGTTTAGTAACATGTAATTAATGCATAAGAGTAGCTTGGTGTAAAAGAAGTAATATGAGGAAAGAAGGGAAGTAGGCTTGTACTTCAGCTTGATTGTCTTCTCTCACTGGATCACCAACATCACACTGGCTGCTACAAAGAATGAGTACGACTGATAGTTATTTGAAGGCTCCTTATTCAAGTCAGCATGTTTTCTTAGGTCAGGTTATGTAATTTGAATCCTGTCTGCACATAGAACACCCACCAAGATCTGCCTAGGAGAGGCTACAGCCCAGGTACCATCTGCATTACACAAAGCAGGATTTGTTCATTCTGATTTCACTGCAAAGAGGAGCAGCCCAGCTAAAAGAAAGACTGTACATCAAATACTTACCTACAATGATAATCCAAACTGTCCAGTTACAACCATGACTGTGCTGAGCTGAATTTTTTAGTGGATCTGAATAATACAAATCATAAAGAAGAGTTGTGTTGATCAGTCAATCAACTGTATTTGTAGGACAATGGCAGACAGATCTGGAGGGACGCAGGTAGATCAGGAGTGTGTATGTGTCTAAGTGGCCAGCAGCTACATGATGACATAAACAAGGAGGAAGCAGAAAGGTCTCTGCAGGTGACATCACTTACCCACTTCAGAGCGCAATTCTGGGCAGGCTAAAAAACAATAATAATAATAATAATAATAATAATAATATTAATAACTTTAAAAGATTACTAGGGAATACAAAAAATACATTTCAGGACTGATTTAGAACATTTTATTTAACAGTACAAAAACTGGTTAAGTATCTGCCATAATAATGTATATTTTCAAATAACTGTCTAAGAATATAATCATAGCCTAACTGTATGTGACCCATATCTTTAAACACCCATGAATCCTCCCAGATGTAACATTTCTGAAAGAGTCTTATCTGTAATACTTACATGTGGTGTTTGCGTCTAAAGAGATGCCTGGTCCTTCAAAAACATACTTTTCACCCTGGACAGTAGGCAGAAGGATCTGCCCGTTGTAGCGACATAAAACATGCAGCTGCAAATCACTGCCACAATCCGGTAGATGTTCTGGTTTTCCCTGCCAGATTGGGCTGTCAGAGGTACTCTTATAGACTCTT